TCGTGCGTACTAAAAAGAAAATTCCACACAGGAGAAAAAGTTTTTTAACTAATACATCTTACTGTGAACAAGGTACAATTGAAAAAAGAATCGGGGATTGGTTTACATAGTACAGGGACCCAAATTCTCACATAAAAGACACGGAAACCAAATAAGAAAGAGACTGTTAGAGGACTCTAACGGTCCACCTCAGAAAGAAGTGATGGATTTTCAATAAATTTGATATACAAAGGCTGCAAACAATGCCAGATCCACGAAAATCGTCCAGAAAAAGGAAGTTCACAGAACCTTTGGTAATAGATCCAAAGAGGAAAAAATATTAAAAACCCCTGCTACGCAAAAGCTTCGGAAGGGGGTGTTATGGGAACTTACCCATAATAATAATGGACTATTACTGATATTATAAATACTGCGCCTCTCAAGAGGTATGAGGGATATTGTAAGACGAGGAGAGATAATTGAGAGCATATTGTAAGGACATTGGAATAGTGATGCTTATCGAGACAACATAGTTCACTCTAACCAAATCTGATAGTTATTACTAATACTTCTACTTCTTTGTATTATATTTCTGTTGTAATATATCTTTGTATTCCATATCTGTGTTCGTGTTATTCTTTCATTGGTCCTAAACTTGAATCATCACCGTGGTACAAGGAACTTGGACCATAATACTTTTGTATATATATGTTTGTGTGGACACAATTACTAGAGGCGATGATATATGTATTTTATCTTGTAGTTTTGTTGAAATTATATTTTGGAATACAGTTTGACTTATTTATGAAATTGTAAGATATGTGAATTAATGTGATGAAAGAATTCATTTATATTGGTTTCTATATTACTTGCTTCTATGCAGTGGTATGTCAAATTCTATGGGTTATTTAAAGCCGAAATGTAAATATTTTGAGAATAATTTAATGGCTTCAACTGAAGATAAATTATATAGTTAGGCATTCTGCTATAAAAAGTATTGCTAGTCATTTTGGTTTAAAATATATTGTTGATAATTCTAATATAAACATGTATTGTTGGTAGTTTTTTTAACACAAAAATGTATTGCATCTTCATAAAAATGTACATATATTTTCATAGCGCTTTGCTTTTGTTTGTGTGTTAACTATTCGTTCATGGCGAGGAAGCTCGCAGATGCTACCACCTCAAGGTTAGAACTGTCAACATCAAAATTTAAGAGGTGGTTCCAAGCTCATCACAACCACCAATGCCCCAATCAGTGACCATTGCTGCTGGATGCAGTTTATCGTCATATCCAGGACTAACCAATACTTTGGGTTATATATATATATATATATATATATATATATATATATATATATATATATATATATATTTTTGTGTGTGTCCACATATCAATAAGCATATTACGGCCAACAGAATTACGACTACCAACTGCCATTTTATTTTTTTTTATTTCACGCATGCATGTTGTACGTTTTTGATTTTATCGGCTGCCCTGTATAGTAGGGTCAGTTAGGAACCGTCTATGAGAAAGAAAAAAAAATTCACCATGACGCAATTCATTCCGCCAGTAATTTGGAAACGGCAATACGAACATTTGAGTGTTTGGATGCCAATCTGAAGACATGGCGGAAGGTTCGGAAATATTTGGATGAGTCTAATGGTGATTACGAAGGTGTTTGGCGTAATAACGAGTGACGGCGAAGTTATGCCTCTATTCATCTTCTGACAGAGCCTCGCAGGCAATACTGAGGCCTAAGTCAAGTTCCGTGCTGCCTTGTTCCAAGAGGGGGGCCGCTGAAAGACCTTATGTCTGGCAATAGGATTATAGACAACGCCATACATGTAGCAGAACCCAGTCATAGCTGTCAAACAATTTCTGCGACCACATCACAGCTTACATCTTGCCACCTAACACCCCAGACTGCGACCCTCTTGATTATTATGTGTGGAACACAGTTGAGCGAAAAACCAACAAAACTCCTTGTAACACCAAAGATGAACTGAAGATAAAGATTATGGAAGCATTCGTCAACTTAAACGTTTGGAGGCCGTGGTTGAAACCAATGGTGATTTTATTGATAAAATTAATCTTTAGTATTCCAAGATATTTTTGTATAATTTTGGTAAATATATCTGTTGAAATATGATGTGAGCTTACTTCCGTTTTTGCGTAATTTAGACAACAATTTATGCATCCTGTGTGCACGAAAATTTATGCATCCTGTATGCACCCTGGAAACTAAAACACATAATGCAAGGTAAGACTCAAAACACTACAAGCTTTTATTAAACAAAATAAACCGCCCACTTAAAATGAAATATCGTTCACTGCACGTTGATTTTTCTTTCGAACCGGGATTTCTAACTAAACCATCAAATAGGATTATAAGTTAGGTTAGAATGATTAGGACAAAAATAAATGTGTTACGATAGTCAAACACACTGACATGTTAGGGGAGAAAAAAATAAAGAAAAATGAAAATGAGTTTTAGGTAGAGCGAAATTATACTCACACATTGCAGCAAGTGTTTGTCCGCTTTCTTTCTCATGATAACCAGTGAATGTACGGCTTACCTTAAGTTCAAGCATCGAGTTTCAACGAAACGCAGAGTTGGTGGTGGTGGGGGGAGGGGATCAACAGCCAAACCTCCGCCCCTACCAACAGTGGGCTTGGGAAACATGCTTTCAATAAAATTAAGAACAACAGGAGAAAGAAACGGCGAAAACAATTCCATGATCGAACATTTTATCTAGCAAGAAAATTCTGCCAACTACATCATGAGAATACTGACGAGACACTTTCGCATCTAGCCAATATATATATATATATATATATATATATATATATATATATATATATATATATATATATATATATATATAGACACATTTATGTTTGTTCAACACTCACAGAGCCCACCTAGTCGTTTTGCTGTCTCGTGTCGCTTTAGTCTGCGAATGTGATTCTGATTTTGTCCTTACTGGACTTCTGTTTCAGGTTATCGAGTCTGTACCAATTTTTAACAGTACTCAGTCGCTGACATCTAGACGTTTTTTTCTTGGCTTCTTATAGGATTCTCACGGATATTCATTCTTTAAGATGTTGATTATTTGGGCATGTTTATTCTATTCCCTTTCTTTCACTCTTACTCTCTCCCTATCTGTCTGTCACTCTCTTTGTATATACATATGTGTGTGCTCATTTTGGTAGGAAAAGTGACGAAAAAACATCCTACTTTGCCCTCTTACAATGCAACAAAGCAACAGACCTTTGTCGACATACTCTAAATTTGACATCTCCATCAAGATTAAATAGCAAGCGAAACTGCCCTTCAGGCTGTATTCCAGATCTATGAAACTAATGCATTATTCCATAATTCGCATTAATTATATTTTCAAAAATCTCCATAATATGCCTGATCCAGATTAAGCAAATTGGAAATGTGTCCAATTATAAGAGGCACACATCGCAAACTTACAAAACGTCTTGATGTTTCCATATTTGAATAGGTATTAGTAAAGGATTAAACTGAAACGGATTTAAGATCACCTCATGGTCACTATACGCAACAGCGTATTGAACAGTTCTAGAACAATGAACATAAAACACGAAAAACTTTCCAGTATTATCAACAAGTTTATCCTTACTCGTGCCTAGCGGTTATCAACCCGGAAAATGGAGTCGGTGGTCAGAGTTCAAATTCCGATATAGTCCGTTGCGTTAACTTTCGCTCAATAAACGTTGGCAAATATATGAATCTATCTCATCTTGCTTAATGTTTAAATAGTAGCACAGTCTAGACTCGCTAGCTTGCGTTGGGGACTCGTCTATCAGAGAAGCTCCTAATTCAAAAGCAGTTGGACATGGTGCTAGTAATTCTACCTCATAAAAAAAGCTAATTGTTACAGACAACACAACATTCAGAGAAAAGAATACTAAGCTGTTACGTGACATCTGTCCTTCTTTACGGCAGCGAATGCTGGACGATTTCCTCAAAGATGAAGAAGAGATTCGAGGCGACGGAAATGCGGTTCTACAGAAGGTGTCTAAGGATATCGTGGACCGAGCGTGTAAGCAACGATGAGATCTTAGAGAGGATACAAACAAGGAGGAGGCTTATACTCAACATCAGGAAGAGTCAGCTGAAATTTCTGAGACACATGATGAGGAAGGAGGGTCTGAAGAATCTGATATTCACGGGTCGAAATGAGGGAAAGAGAGACAAGGGAAAACAACGTATGACATATCTAGCGGCCTTAAGCAAGTGGATGACAGAACGTGGTCTGAGGGAAGGAACTTGCAAGTGATAGAAGGAGTTGGAGAGCCATGATCGCCTACATCGAAAAGGAGATGGCGCATAAAAAGAAAGAAAGACAATGCCCGGGACCTCAACTACAGACGAGGCGTAACGATACAAACGGCGAAATGTAGTTTATATTTTGAAGTTCGCTCTCTTACCATATATAAAATCACGAAGCAGACATTAATGGAATTATAGCTCTCGTAAATTCAAGTAAAATCCAATTAAATTTAAGTTAATACTTTTTCAAAATTCAGGCAGTCATTATGCAACAGGCCAAGTACGAACTTCGTATGCCCACTGGGCGACTATAACACATTCTCTCGAAGAGGGGATTTTTCGCCCGTGCTTCTTCGCACACCGGTCCTTATAACTTGACTCTTTTCCTTTGTTTACCTTCGACAGTGAAAATCAGCCACATGACCGCGCATACAATGTGACTAATTAAATGATCATGGGCCATTTTTGTCCCTGGGGAGTCTGAGTAGGTGAAATTAGCCACAAAGCTGAGCAATTCATTCATTTTACTAGACTACAAAGGATTTATTAAGAACTGTCATAATTATTGTGCTCGAAGGAAAAACGCGTCAATAATTTGATTATTTTTGTAGTTATAACAAAGGTCATTTCGCCCAACACAATGTTAGTCATTTGTATGAAAAGTATTTCCAGTTTAGAACGAAAGTTATTACACCATCTGTATCTAACCTGGAG